AAAGTACTTAATGCTGGAGTTCTAAGACTACAGCCTTCAGTATGGATTGCACCTCAAAGTAAAGAAAACAAAAATCCTCACCATTGAACCAGTAAATAACATCATGATAAATGGAGAAAAAGACTTCCTTCTACTTGGATCAACAATCAACACTCATGAAAGCAGCAGTCAAGAAATTTTCTGTAGACTTCTTTAAAGTGTTAAAGAGCAAAGGTGCCACTTTGAGGTGTGCCTGACATAAGGCATAGTATTTTCAGTCTCTTGGAGTCCTGGTGTGGGTTAATGTGCTAGGCTGCAAGATCGGTGATTTAAGCTCACCAGCTGCTCCTTTGAAACACTAAACAGGGTTACTATGGATCATACTGACTTGACAGCACTTAACAACACCAATGACAACAACATATGCATGTGAAAGTTGGGAAATGAATAAAAAAGACTGCAGAAGAATCAATGCATTTGAATTACGGTGTTGGTAAAGAATCTGGAAAGAACCAGAATGTTCCTTAGAATTGATGGTGGCAAAGACTTTGTATTTCATTGTTTGGACAAGTTGCCAGGAAGTATCAGTCCTTGGAAGAGAACATCATCCCTGGTCAAGTGGAGGTTCAACCAAAAAAAGGAAGACTCACAGATGGATGAACACAATGACAACAACAGTGAGCTCAGACATAACAGTTGTCAGGGCAGGATCAGGCAGGGCTTCATTCTGTTGTGCATAGGATCATGGTGAGGCAGCTAACAGAATTGATGCTTTTAATATTTTAAAAAGCATTAATTTCATTCAGCTTCTCTAAAGAATGAATGTAAAATAGAGTTTCTTATAGCTTTGTATTTGTTGTCTAGGGTATCTATCTTTATTAATTTCATTTTTGGCAATTTCCAGTTTTTCCTGGATTCATATTCATGTCACATGACTCTGATTATTAATGATGTTTGCAGGTGTTTCTCCTTATTTTGAGTTTGGCCCCATCAGCAAATGAAGGTTCTGAAAGCTTTACGTCATTCACATCATTATGGTCATCTCTACTTTGATGAGGCAACTGTTCTTCAGTAGAATTCTGAGTGCCTTGTAACCTGAGGAGCTCTTTTTCCAGCAGTGTATCTGACAATGTGCTGCTGCTATTCATAAGGTTTAGAGTGACTAATCATTCAGAAGTAGTCCATCTCTCCTTCTTCCTAGTCTGTCTTACTATGGAAGCTCCACTGAATACTGTGCACTATGGAAGACCCTGCTGGTATTTAAAATACCGATGGCCTAACTTCCAGCATCACAGTAATATCCAAACCACCATAGTTTTGTTGTCGTTGTTCAGTGTCATCTAGTTGTCACGAGGGGGCAGTCACTTGAGAAGTGTATCATGTTTGGTAAGGTGGAGGGTCAGAGAAGAAGAGAAAGACCCCCAATGAGATGGATTGGCCAAGTGGCAGCATGGATGGACTCAAGCGTGGCAACAGTAGTGAGGCTGGCCCAGGATCGGGCAGTGTTTCGTTCTGCTGTGCATAAGGTCGCTATGGGTTGGTACCAACTCTATGGCACCTAACAACAATTGGTTCTGACTCAGAGCAACCATGTATAGGGTTTCCAAGGAAGGGATGGTGGATCTGAATTGCTGACCTTGTGGCTCAAACCGACTTTTTGGCCCTGTGCTTGTCTTACAATGCCACACCAGGACTGCCCATAGCTTTATAGTTGATGAGAAAAGATAAGCAATAAAGTAATAATTAACTTATATTAAGAAAATAGCACCATAGATATATACCCATGTTTGAAAGTTCATTTTAAATCACTTTGTTTTTAGGAAAGATTTATAGTAGTACCTGTTTTGCTAATTGAAGAGGACATTTGCGTTTACGATATAGGCAAAAAGTGAAGCTAGCATTCACCACTTTTGCAACAAGTTGTAAAAGAAGCAGCATATACCTGGAACAGCAAGAGTGGTGCTACTAAGCTCCTTTACTTGCATTGTGTTTGTGAACATCATAGTGTTGATTTAGGTTTTAAATGTTCTTTCATATGGTATATTTTGTTTCTGGGGACACTAAAAAAGTCTTTCATGTTACTAATGGTGAATGATTTTTGCTTCACATCATTTTGACTTATTTAAAGTTTCATAGGCGCTCTAGTGTGGCATGTAGAATAATCGCTGGACCTTAAGAAGGTCGATTTGAACCGCAGGGCCGGCAGTCCAGACTCACCAGCCGCTCCTCAGAAATACTATACATGGTCGTTGTGAGTTGGAACTGACTGACTGGCTGGCACTTAGGGAAGCCAGTACATACACAGTTAATAATTAAGTAGTGAATTATTTAGTAGCTACTAATAGTACATGTGCTTCTAGACCCTAAATTATAAAGATTTTAAAAAAAAATTTTGTTTTTAAAGTTTGATCTTTCATACCCCGTGTTTTAACCATTCCAAAAGGGTAATCATTGGCATTGTGCTTCATACTTTAGTCTAACAAATAAAATAGAAAAAAACATTTGGATGTAATTAAAGAACAAAGAAACAAATGGACAGAGAGCAATCCTTTCTGAAAATAAAGAACAGTTGGCTCACCCTAATTATAACCATCTTGATTTTTTTGTTGTTTTTTTCTATGTATAAATTGGACTTTTGGTGAAAAAGTAACCTTTAGCCTAATTAGGAAAATTAAATTCATTGCAGATTTTGGAAATGACTCGATGTTCTTCCTTATACTTATTCTCAAAAGTGAGTTGCTTTTGGCCATGTATTGCTTTTTTGACATAGTTAGAGTTTTCTTGTGATTTCCTAATATTAAATATCTTATATCGAGCATCATTTAAATGAGGATGCGTTGATGTAAATTGGAGATCTGATTAGTAGCAAAGATTCAACTAATTATGAGACTGGTATCAGGTTGAATTGTGCCGATGAATCTTTAGAAAATATTGAAACCTCCGGTATAATCTTAACAGTTTTGCAGTTCATTTACTCTTGCTTTTCAAACACTAAAATAAGGCCTTAAGTGCTGTCCCTACTTTTATAAATCCTCTCATAGTTAATGCAGGTTATGGAAATAAGACATATTTGTTTTTCCAGTAGCAATGACTATAGTGAAATATAAAAGATATAGTACTTTTTAGCTTTCCTGCCCTCCTACCTTTCCCACATTTTTATCATGAATATCTTCATTTACTTTGTATTTATATTTTTTAGGAAATTATAATTGACCTTTATAATTATATATTTCCTTTGCAAAAGAGTGAATACACCTAACCTTTCTGATAGGTGTATTGTATATGGTCTTTTTGCTCAAAGATAGATGTTTTTTCTTGTTGTTGTTATTTTTTAATGTATGTGTATATATGTATATTATTTGAGAGTAGCTAAACAAAAATATGCCACAGAAAAATGAGGAAAGGAAGGGACTATAACTTTCAGTGTCAAAAGTCTTTTGAAACATTACTTGATTTTATATTCATTGCAAAATTTCTGGGGTTTCCTGTGTTAATTTTCCTTTATGTTTTCTTTGATCACCTCACCCTCTAAGCAAGCAACTAAAACCTCAAAATTGAAATAAATTCTGTAATTACCTGTTGAGATATCTAACTAACTCATAAGTACCTATTGGGTAAATAGGAGTTTGAAGCAAGATCAGTTAAAAGAGGCCAATTTCTTTAGTAATGTTTGTCTTAGTTTTTGTTGTTGTTGTTGTTGTTTTTTAGTGTCTAAACCATCACTAGCAATTTACTTCTGACTCCTAGTGATCCTATAGAATAGAGTACAACTGCTCCATACAGTTTCCAAGGCTGTAATCTATGGAAGCTGACTGTCATACCTTTTTTCCATAGCGGCTGGTGGGCTTGAACTGCCAAAGCTTTTGTTTAGCAGTCAGTTGCTTTAACCATTGTACCACCATTTGAGTGTGTAGCACTAGAAGTTTTGTTTGATTAACATAATGTTGGAAACTTACCGTGATTAGAATAACTAGAATGATACTATTTTGAACTCTGAATTATGTTGTAAATCATGTAAAAATTTACAGAATTTGAGATGGAAATTTAGAATTTTTCTTTTATTCTAATCCATTGCTTGTACTGTCACTACTTCTGTATAAAATAGAGATTTGATTATGTTTCTCTTCTTTTTAGTTCCCGTGACTCCCCATTCCTTACAACAGTAGCTCTCTTATTTAGAAAAACGCAGTTGACTTATGCAAGGTGCTTCTAAAGTTTGTCCACATCTGGAATCCATCATCAGATCATTTGATTTTTAGGGAGGGCTGGGAAGGTGTGACAAAATTTTATCCATTGAGTCAGATGCCTCTTTGTGTCCTTCCCCAAGCAAACTGTCATGCAATTTTCTCTTTTCACCTTCTCATTTGTACTGTTGTTGTTGTTAACTGCTGTCCAGTAGGTTCCAACTCATAGCTACCCTACATAGCGTTTCCAAGGAGCGACTAGTAAGCTTGAACCTCTGACCTTGTGGTTCAAACTGAACTTGCTGTCCAGTGCATTAACCTGCAGCGCCACACTAGGACTCCCCTCATTTGCACTAACCATGTCAAAGTATTTATTATACAAATATTTTGTTCTTTTTCACATCTCTTCATGTTTGTACATGTTTTTCCTATAGCCTTTTCCTCCCCTGACCTCCCTTTCCTTCCCTCCACTCTAGATCTTTCATCTCCTGAACAACTTCTTACCTTTCTAGATTCTGATGGCAAATTGTTCCAGTATAGATAGTCACTATGTCTTTTGTGTTTTGAATTTGTATTCTATTATGATTGTTTTTAGGTAAACATGTCTGCCATTAGACAGTGAGATCAATAACCTCATTATAATCTATTAGAAATGTGCATGTACATTGAGTTTATGAATATTGTTTTTGGGGCCTTGATAAGTTGAGGGAGTGGTGACCACAAAAGCACAGTTAGATACTATGTATCCTTTTATTTGTCTAAATATCCATTCCAGTTAAAACTTTTTTGAGTATGTATATTGAATTTTCCCTTTCATTTTCCCCCTTGTGTCTACAGAAGAAATCTCACAAAACTCTCCCTCATCTTCAGTCATATGCTGGCAGAAATCAAAGCAATCTTTCCCAATGGTCAATTCCAGGGAGATAATTTTCGTATCACAAAAGCTGACGCCGCTGAATTCTGGAGAAAGTTTTTTGGAGAAAAGTAAGAAAAATTGTTCTTATTGTTTGGATAAAACTTTGAAGGGTAATATAGTCCTGCCTCCCTTTCCACATGGTGTAGATTTTATGTGTGTAATTTGGGAATATATTTGAGTGTTTTGATTAGTAATTATTCTGTTTAAGCACTAAATATAAGTTTCATACATTATATGATATTGTAAAGTATCAGTTTATATGTTATGTGCCATGGAGTCGGTTTCCGAGGCTATAAATCTTTATGGAAGCAGAAAGCTTCATATTTCTCCCATGGAGCCGCTGGTAGTTTTGAACTGCTGACTGTGAGCTTAGCAGCCCAATTCGTAACCACTACGCTACCAGAGCTCCTTATCAGTTTATATAGTATTTGTTTAACAAGGATTTTTAAAGTTTAATATGTGAGAAGCTTGTTAATTACTGTATGCATTTTTTTTAACTTTAACAAATTTTAAATACTATTTGGTGCAAGTCTACACAGCAAATTAGATTCACATTTTACCATCTCTGTGCATATTGTTCCTTGGAGGCCTGTTAACTGAAAAGTTGGTATATTAAACTCACCAGTTCTCCACAGAAAGATGAGGCTGTCTTCTCTCATAAAGATTTACAGTCCCGGATATCCTAAGGAGTAGCTCTACTCTGTCCCATAGGGTTTCTAGCAGTCAGAATCAATTCCATGGCAGTGCGTTGGTTTTTTAGTGTACATAATGCTCAGTAACATTGGTTACATTTTTCACAGTGTGTCAGTATTCTCATTTGCATTCTGATTATTCCATTTTCACTAATATAGCTTTCGTGTTCTACTCCTTCCCTAGGCACCCCCACCCCCACCCACATACATATACTTATTTTCTCATCTTTAAGGTAAATGTTGACTGTTAGATCTTATATAGATGAATTTTAAAGGAGTTGGAGTGCTCATGAGTGATATTGTTTATGTTATGAGCCATTCTTTTATTATCTGAAAGGTGAAATCTGGGTGCGGTTTTAGTAAATGTAAAGGGTATCTAGGCGTTCCTGTAATCTCTGCTGGCCCAATAAGTCTGACATTTTTTTTTAAGAACTTGAGTTTTGTTCAACTGGACCACAAGGTTGTTTTGAGCTGCAAGGTCGGCGATTCAAACTCACCAGCCAATGCTCAGAAACCCTATACAGGGTCGCAATGAGTCAGAACTGACTCCATGGCGCTTAACAACAATAAAAACACTCTCCATTTTGACCAGGGACTATCTATTGTGTCTCTGGTCAGAATAGAGAGTGATGGTTTGCTGTTGTTAAGTGTCATTGAGTTGTTTTCGACTCATTTTGACTCCGTATAGGGTTTCATAGGCTGTACATCTTTACAGGAACAGAAAACTTCATCTTCCTCCCATGGAGTGGCTGGTCGAACTGCTGACCTTGTGGTTAGCAATACGAACGCATAACCCGCTACACCAACAGGTCATAATGTCATTAATATATGGATTGCTCACATGGTTTTCAAGAGGGTCACCTTGTTTTGCTGGTACCACAAACCACAGAGAATTATGCTTTGGAAACATTTTTTTCTTCCCTCTTATTTATAAACACCAACATCAAGAATCTGAAATTTCTGTTCTACCAGTACTTTAATGAAATCCTATTAGATCAGACCATTGAGTGAAAAACTGATGTGACGTAAACTTTCACCCATTTCACGAAATTGTTAGATGCTGTTGAGTCAGTTCTGACCTTATATACAACAGAATTTTTAATAAAAAGTTCAACAACAACAACAAAATGGAAGGTTCTTGAAATACTGATGAAATATTTTTCCTATTTGCCCAACTTTTTATAAACTCTGTGTCCTTTTTTTTCAGAATTGAGAAAGCAGTTGAATTTGTCTTTAACTTACTTACATTTGGACTGAGCACCAAATGTCAAGCTGCTTTTAAATATTTTACATATGTTTATAGTCATCAAGGAGTCCTGGTGTGGTGCTGTGGGTTAATGCATCAGTCTGCAAAGTCAGAATTGCAGACACTTATATATAGTCATCAAAGTTAAAGATTCTTTTGTTAGATCATTGGAGCAACCATGTTTTTATTCACAATGACATTTCACCTTGTAGTTCCATACTATTTTATTGAATATAAGAACAAATAAATAAATGATGTGCCCTTTCAAACAGTTGATTTCCTTTTTTTAAAATTATTTGCTAATACTGTTTGTGTTTTCCCATAACTTAGTTCTCATATTGAAGCATTTCTACCATTTATCCCACTACACAATGAGGCCATGTAAGAATGCTTTCATTTGACCAAACCAGTGCTTTTAAATGGAAAGCAGCATTGTTTCCAGAAACAGAGAGATTAGTTCTAAAAATGGTCAAACAGATAATGATTTTTATAAATCAGCTTTTAATTTAGAACTATTGTTGTTTTCTTTATAAAAGGAACAGACTCAACATATGAAAAAAAATAGAGTTGAATTAAAGTTGGATCCTGCTGCTCAAAGGACTTAAAAAAAAAGACTTCTAAAGGCAATTTTAGGACTGAGATTTCAAAAAACTAGCGAAAAGACAAAAAACAAACTTTAGCCATCATATGCCTAATGCCTCATTTTGGTTCTTCTCTGCCATTTTGAGAACGTTTTTGAGAAGAGCTCGCCTTCCCTTCTCAGGGCCCTAGACCAGTGATAGACTCTAGGAGCCCTACCTGAGGAAATGAATAACACGTGGTGTCAGGAAGGCGCCCTGGTGATGCTGCAGGATAAGCACTGGCCTGTTAACCATAAGGTCAGCAATTGGAACCCATCATGGAGAAAGATGAAGCTGTCTGCTCCCATAAAGATTTTTTGTCACAGAAATCCTATGTAGGATTGACTCGATGACAGTGGGTCTAGTAGTCTGTCAGGTGGTACGAATGGGTAAGTGCTCGATTACTTGCTGAGATGGAACCTACCCAGAGGCACTAGGGAGACAGTGCTGGTGATCTCTTTCTGAAAGGTCACAACTTTGTGGAGCCCTATGAAAACCTTCTGGAGCAGTTCTACAAAGCACACATGGGGGTCAGCTTGAGCTTAAATAGACTCCATGGCAACTGACAACAACAGTGAATCAGGGCAGATTGGTTTGGAAGTTCACATTATTAGATTTGTATGCAAATTCATTTACTCTTTTAATAGTGCAGTCCTGAGTTTGCTTTCTTGGTCTGTTAACACAGGATATAGTAGAAACATCTAAAAAGGAGAAATAACATTATTGAGTAAATATCTTTCAATAGCATTTTCAAAATAAAACCATAGTAGTTTATAATCCATAAACTTTAATCATGAGGATCAAAAAATGCTGTTAAAAAATAAATAAGTAAATAAATAAGGCACAGTAATGTGATTGGACAGTCAGTGTTCAAGCAAGTCAGGTAGCACTTCCCTTTCTACTATGCTAAGCACTTCTTGGCATTTAGACATGAATTTCCAATCAAATTAAAATTCAGCAAGCACCATATATTATGACTTCTGAATCTTCTTATGTGTATTTTCCTCCGCATTCTTACTTAACTTCAAGTTCTCTGGATTACTGCATCAGCCTCAAACTGGTTTTCCTATCTTCAGTAACACCCACCCTATTCAGTTGTGTGACCAGTGAGGTTTCTAAAAAAGCAAAGCTAATCTCAATCTTATGTCTGAAGTTCTTTCATGAATTATTATTGATTTTGAGGTAAAGTCTAAAAATCTCATTAACATGACAAGGCTTTAGGAACTGTTTTTTTGTTTTTTCTTTTTAACTATATCTCTGTACTCAACTTATCCTCCAATAAGCAAAAAGAAATGCTCAACACTCCATCAGTTTTTTCACACTCCATTGTCTTTATTTCTTTCATTTGTTTCAGTTGCTTGGGCAGTTACCAAGGCCCCACCCTTGCCTTTTTGTAAATTTCCTTAAATGCCCTAATCTGAAGGAGCTCTGGTAGCATATTGGTTATGAATTGGGCTGCCAACCTCAAGGTCAGCAGGTCAAAACTGCCAGCTGTTCCACGTGAGAAAAGATGAGGCAATCTGCTCTCACAAAGATTCACAGCTTCAGAAACCCTATACAGGGTCCCTATGAATCGGAACCAGCTCCACAGCATACCACCACCACCACCCTAATACCCTTACCACCAGATATCCTTACTTTGTGATGCCAGGTACCTGTGCTCCATTCTGTCTTACTAGACTGCAGTTCATGGCTGACATTACTGTACTTCCCAACACACTAGACTGACTCAGGGCAAGAAGCTTCTTTTTTGTTTCTGTAGTCTGACACATTTTCTGGAAGATGTAGAGACTACTCATAAATTTTAAGTGTATGTGAATAGTTGAATTGACATGGGGCTAGGTGGATAATGTCTATTTCTGCTTATAATCTGAAATGGTTTATTATCTTCAAATTGATTTTCTTTTGCGTGAGTTCCTATTCCTTTGACTATTCTCTTCACTTTCCTTTCTTTTCTACTTTTTTTTTCCTTCAGTTGTAATTTGAAGGGGAAGTATTGCTTTCCTTTAGTATTTTTCTCCATGAGACTGAAATATGAGATACAGCACAGTCCTTTTTACACAAGTAGGTAAAAGTAATTTACTTGTCTTGGTAAACAATAGCTGTCAATGCACTTTAATCACAAAATAATTTCCCAAATGTTTGATATAAGCAAGAAAACAGCCAATGGCGATTTCTCCTTTGGTACTGAGTGACAGTCTGCTTTTGGTCCATTTTGGATCCTTACTCTACATGATCCCAAACAAATTTTTTTCTAGGTAGATGTGTGCTTTTACTAGCATTTCCCTATTCCATGTAAGACAGATAATTCAGGTAAGAATGGGGATTGCCTCTTAGTTTCTCCTGCCAAGATTGCTGTATGACTGGTAATACAGGTATCAGGAAATTATGTCCTGAGTCCCTCAGATTTTAGAAAGTCATCTGTCTCTCTGTAGTCCAGAGAAAGAGATGCCTGACTTGTGTTTAAAACTTCCTACCCATGGCACATTTCAAAGGGAAATGACAGAAGG